ATTAATAATAATAAATATATCATAATATATAATATAATATATAATACAATAGAGCTCCTTTGAGTCTCCTTGTGGATAAAGCAGGATATTATTATTATTATTATTAATAATAATAATAATAATAATAATAATAATAATAATAATAATATATAATAGAACCACTTTGAGTCTCTTTTTGGAGAGAAAAAGCAGGGTATAAATAACAATAAATTATAATATATAATATATTAACATAACATAAATTGAAAAGGTCATTGAATAGAGAAGATTGGAATCTGAGCCAGTTTGGTGACTTTGGTTGCATCCACACCTTACAAATAATGCAGTCTTACACCACTTTAACTGCTTTGACTCAATGCTCCTTTCCCTTTAAATGGGCGGTCCTAGCCCCGCCCCCTATTTTGCATTGGGAGCAGCCTGATTTGTTCTGTCAAGCTGCCGCTAACCACGCCCACTCCTTATAAGGCGCGCGCCTAATGGCCACGCCCCTTTCCCCTTGCCGTTGGAGAGAGTGTGTGTGCCCCATAGGAAGGGAGAAAGGGATGAAATGGGGCTAGTACGCATGCGCAGAGCAAATATCCTTCGAGAGCGTTGTCGGCGACTGTTGAGGAGCGAGTGGGCGTGGCTAGTGAGGAGAAGAAACTAAGGACAGAAAGTGGGCGTGGCTAGCTATAAGGGGAGGGGGAAGCGAGGGAGACGAGGTTTGTGGATAAGTGACAGTTGGGGTGGGCGTGGCTTAGAGAGAAAAAGCGAGAAGTGCGCATGCGTAGGAGGCAAACCTCAGAAACGCTCTGTTTGTGAGAAGAAAGCAGATGGGCCAAAAGTGGGCGTGGCAAGCGGGGCGAAAAAAAATAAGGATCTAAAGTGGGCGTGGCTAGATAAAAAGTGAAGGAGAAGGAGGTTGTGGATGAGTGACAGCTGGTGTGGGCGTGGCTTAGAGGAGAAAAAAAATGCGAGGAGTGCGCGCGCGTATGCGCGGGAGGGAAACCTCGGGAGCGCGCTGCTGCTGAGGAGAAGACAGAATTAACCGTTGGGGAGGGGGAGGGAGGACCGAGAGTGGGCGTGGCTACAAAGAAAAAACGGCAGGGAAAACGACAAGGAGTGGGAGTGGGTGTGACTTAGGGACAGCTGAGGGAGGACTGAGAGTGGGCGTGGCTTAGGGCCAATTGAGGGAGGTCTGAGACTGGACGTGGCTTTGTGACAGTTGAAAGAGGGCGTGGCTTGGGTAAATTGGGTGTTATTGAGTGGGCGTGGCTTAGAGGGGGGTTGAAAGTGGGCGTGGTTTGGGTACAGTTGAGGCAGTATTGTAGAGTGGGCGTGGCTTAGAGAGTTGAGAGAGGACAGAGTGGGCGTGGCGTAGGGACATTGAGGGAGGGCAGAGCTGGTGTGGTTTAGCGGCAGCTGAGAGGACTGAAAATGGGCGCGGCTTAGTGGTAGTTGAGAGGACTGGGAGTAGGCGTGGCTTAGCGACAGATGAGACGGCTGAAAGTGGGCGCGGCTTAGTACCAAATGAGAGGCCTGAAAGTGGGTGTGGCTTGGGGATAGTTGAGCCAGGACTGAGAGTGGGCGTGGCTTAATGATTGAAAGTGGGAGTGGCTTGGGTACAGTTGAGAGAGGACAGAGTGGGCAGTTGAGAAGCCTGAAAGTGGGTGTGGCTTGGGAGCAGTTGAGGCAGGATCGAGCGTGGGCGTGGCTTAGGGACAGTCAAAGGAGGAGTGAGAATGGGCGTGGCGTAGAAGGAAAGACAAAGCGAGAAGTGCGCGTGCGCAGAAAGAATACAAGAAAGCCTGAAAGTGGGCGTGGCTTAGGAACAGCTGAAGGGAAGGATTTGGGAGTGGGCAGTTGAGAGCGGGCCAAAAGTGGGCGTGGCTTGGGTAAATTGAGGCCGAGATTACAGTGGGCGTGGCCTAGGGAGGGCTGAGGGGAGAGGGCGTGGCTTAAGTGACAGTTGAGAGCCGGGCAGGAAGTGGGCGTGGCTTGGGTAAATTGAGGCCGAGATTAGAGTGGGCGTGGTTTAGGGACGGCTGAGAGAGGGCGTGGCTTTAGTGACAGTTGAGAGAGGGCCGAAAGTGGGCGCGGCTTGGGTAACTCGAGGCCGGGATTAGAGTGGGCGTGGTTTAGGCTGAGAGGGGGCGTGGCTTAAGTGACAGTTGAGAGAGGACCGAAAGTGGGCGTGGCTTGGGTAAATTGAGGCCGGGATTACAGTAGGCGTGGTTTAGGACTGCTGAGAGAGGGCGTGGCTTAAGTGACAGTTGAGAGGGGGCCGAAAGTGGGCGTGGCTTGGGCAAATTGAGGCCGGGATTAGGATGGTTGAGAGAGGGCGTGGTTTAAGTGACAGTTGAGAGATGGCCGWAAGTGGGCGTGGCTTGGGTAAATTGAGGCCGGGATTAGGACGGCTGAGAGGGGGCGTGGCTTAAGTGACAGTTGAGAGAATGCCGAAAGTGGGCGTGGCTTGGGTAAATTGAGGCCAAGGTTAGAGTGGGCTTGGTTTAGGGAGGGCTGAGGGAGAGGGCGTGGCTTAAGTGACAGTTGAGAGGGCCGAAAGTGGGCGTGGCTTGGGTAAATTGAGGCAGATTAGAGTGGGCGTGGCTTAGGGAGGGCTGAGGGAGGGGGTGTCTTCAGTGACAGTTGAGAGAGGGCCGAAAGTGGGCGTGGCTTGGGTAACTCGAGGCCGGGATTTGGATGGCTGAGAGGGGGCGTGGCTTAAGTGACAGTTGAGAGAAGGCCGAAAGTGGGCGTGGCTTGGGTAACTCGAGGCCGGGCTTAGAGTGGGCGTGGCTTAGAGGGGGCAAGCGAGGAGGAGTGCGCGTGCGCGGTGCTTGTGAGGCGAAAGAAGGCAGGAAGGAAGGAGTGACCGGGCGGAGTGGGAGGGGCCGGCTCGCTTGCTCGCTCGCTCGCTTGCTTGCCAGCCAACAGCATGGCGGCTGGGCGCGAGCCGCCGCCGCCGCTGCCTCCTCTTCTCCTCCTCGTTCTCCCTTCTGCTTTCCCTTCCCTCCTCCTCCTCCTCCTTCTTGCTGGCGGCCTGGCGTCTTCCTCCGCGGGAGCCCCTCGTAGGCCCTCGCTCGGCCTCTTCCTTGGCCCCCTTCTTCTTCTTCCCTTCTGAGAGGAGAGGAGAAAGGAGGCAGCCTGACAGAAAAAGAGAGAGAGAGAGAAAGAAAGGGAGGAGGAGGAGGAGGTCGTCGCCGGTCCCTCGCCGCCCGGCCATGGAGCTGGCCAAGCCGGTCTTCCCCGCGCTGCCCCAGCCCAAAGAGGACTCCGAGGTGAGCCCATCCTGGGGTTGTGTGGGGAGGCAGGCAGGCCAGGGAGGGGGAGGGGAGGGGAGGGCACAGGTGCCTCACCTGCAAGGGGAAGGGGGGAGGGGGAGGAGGGGGAGGGGAACAACAACCACAAGAGAAGGAGATGGTCATTCTGATGTAGATCCCCCAAAAGAAGGAGACTCAAAGTGGCTTACTGGAAAACCCAGGCAAGACCCTTTATTTGGAAGAATAAAAATAACAGATTATTATTATTATTATTATTATTATTATTATATTATGTTTACCCTGCTTTTTCTCCCCAGGGTAAGAGACTCAAAGCATCTTACCGTAAAACCGAGGCAATACAATTTATTGTATTTATTATTATTACTATTTTCTTTGCATTTTCTCTCCAGAAAGAGAGAGGTTCAAAGTGGTTTACAGTAAAACCAAGGCAATACATTATTATTATTGTTATTATTATTATTATGTATACTCTGTATTTTCTCTCCAGAAAGAGAGAGGTTCAAGGCAATACAATTTATTGTATTTATTATTATTATTATTATTATTATTATTATTAATGTTATTTTCTCTGCATTTTCTCTCTAGAAAGGGAGAGGTTCAAAGTGGCTTACAGTAAAACCAAAGCAATACAATTTATTGTTGTTGTTGTTATTATTATTATTATTATTATTCTTTGCATTTTCTCTCCAGAAAGAGAGAGGTTCAAAGTGGTTTACAGTAAAACCAAGGCAATACATTATTATTATTGTTATTATTATTATTATGTATACTCTGTATTTTCTCTCCAGAAAGAGAGAGGTTCAAGGCAATACAATTTATTGTATTTATTATTATTATTATTATTATTATTATTATTATTATTATTATTATTATGTATAGCCTGCATTTTTTCTCCAGAAAATTCAGAGAAAAACCAAGGCAATAGAATTTATTGTATTTATTATTATTTTTATTATTATTATTTATTATTAATGTTATTTTCTCTGCATTTTCTCTCTAGAAAGGGAGAGGTTCAAAGTGGCTTACAGTAAAACCAAAGCAATACAATTTATTGTTGTTGTTGTTATTATTATTATTATATTTTCTCTGCATTTTCTCTCCAGAAAGAGAGGTTCAAAGTGGCTTACAGTAAAACCAAGGCAATACAATTTATTGTATTTATTATTGTTGTAATTATTATTATGCCTACCCTGCATTTTCTCTCTAGAAAGAGAGAGGTTCAAAGTGGCTTACAGTAAAACCAAGGCAATACAATTTATTGCATATATTTTACTGACACAAAAGCACAGTATGTCACAGCAAACGAGATCTATATGCTGCAAAGGTGTGTGCCATAGGGAATAACCATTTGAAATAATAATAATCATCATCATCATCATCATTACATATCATTGCATAATACTGTTATAAAATATTTATGTAACACAATATAGTCATACATATTGATATATATTGACACATAATATGAATATACTATCATAGGATATCAATATATAATATAAGGTGGGCAAAAGACACCTGCAAGAGGGCAGGCTGAAGTGAACAATATTAATAATAATGATTATATTATATTATCATACTACCACATTATTGTATTATAATAATAGTATAAAATAGTAATATAGCATAAACATTAAATATTATTGATATAATTGTATATAATTGTATATTATATATTTATGAGCATATCATATTACTATTATATATATATGAACATATTATATTACTATATTATCATATAAGATTAATATATGATATAGGGTGGGCCAAAAGGCATGAAGCTTTTTAACACATCTAATGTAAATTTAATTATTGTATATACTGTGTATGATGCTATGAGTATTAAACACAATTTACAGAATTTTATTTCTCCCAGATAATGTAAATGTTGTCATCAGACATTTAGGGAATGATGAGGGGCAGGCTGCTGAGGATGGTGTGCCTGGGATTTGTGGGGAGCTGTGTAGTTTTTCAATGCCGTTTTAATTGTATGTTTACATTTATGTTTCACAACACAAAATATTTCAATCATCTAAAAAATCTTTTAATGCCTTTGCTCTGTTTTTAATTATATATTTTGCTGTAAGTTGTCTTGAGTACCTGTGCTTTGAGAAAGGTGGGATAGATATAGAGTAGAAAATAATAATAATTCCCCCTTTAAATGGTGTTCTCCTTCTCCCACTTCAAGGCTTGCTCTGAGACTTTGGGTTCTCTTCTTTTCTGCTTCAAAATATGTGTGATGGGGAATTAGTCTCGAATGTGCTGCTTGGTTCTTCCCCCTTTCCTTCCCTTCTTCCCTTCTCTTTATGATGAATCGGGATCATTAAAAATGAGTGACCTGAGAGAACTCCCTCAATTTGTGCTTTTGTGTGTGTTACAATGCCTTTGATTTTCTTTACACATTACACCTGAAGCTGGTTAGGGATTTTAAAAAAATTAGCACAGATTTTCATTCCTTCCTACACATTGAGTATCCTTTCTCCAAAATGCCTAGGACCAGAGGTAATTTGGATTTTGGATTCCCCTTCCCCTCCTACCCCGATTTTAGAATATCTGTGTTTGTGTGTATGTGCATAACCTTGGAAATGGGTACCAAGCTGAAACACAAAATTCATTTGTTTCATGCAGACCTTATAGACATAGCCTGAAGGTAATTGTATGGATATTTTCCAGCGGGAAACAAATTTGGTGCACACTGAACCAACAAAATCAATATTTCAGTTGCCCATGTGGACACAGTTTTAGATTTTGGAGCATTTGGGATTTTGGGATTCCAGAAAAGGGATACTCAAACTCTAGTATATAAGATAACATTGTGGCACTTATAGCCTGCAGCATCTTCTAGGAAGCCCTTTACTCCTCCCTCCTGCAACTGTCATGTATGGATTGTATGACGAGTCTGCAGTCATATACTCATTTGGGGACGAGAATGAAGAAACCCAAATCTCCCAAGGGATCTTTTTCATTTTTCTGCTCTTGCAAGTTGCATATTGTTTTATTATTATTGTTATTATTATTCTTATTTTATTTCATTGTGTATGTAGAAAACAAAACAAATGAACAAAAGGAAAAAAATGAACAAAGAAAAAATATGCAAAAGATTTACAAAGAGTCATTATTCAGTACTCATTAAACATATGTACAATCAGATTTGGTTGTAAAATTATTTATACCTTAACATTACATAACCCTCTATCCCCCACCCGTGAACCCCACCCCCTGACCTCCGAAACCCCTCAAAACAGGATCACACTACTAAACATCAACTACCCAAATATCTTCTTTCACTGAATCCCCTTTATGGCAATCTTCAAGTTTACCCTTGTCGTCTTTTCCAAATACCTAAGCGCCAGCCTCCATTTGTTTACAAATTCTTCATCATTTCCTCCTCTGCTGCTATTTGTCAGCTTGGCCATTTGGGATATAATCAAGTTGCATATTGTTCAGTCTCTTCTTCCTAGACTGTTTTGGGATTTGTGAACCACCTTGGAGTCACAGTTATGGGGAAAGGCATGGTTATGGTAGTAGTAGTGGCCTGTATACCTCTCAATCAGCCATGTCCAATTTCTTCCATCTGATGAAGGTACCCAGCAGGTACCTTGACTTGTTTCTACTTACAAATTGCATTTCAATAAGACAGAGTGAATAATAAAGCTAGTGGGAATATAGGTCTTCTGTCTTGCTTATAACCATTTTTGCATCTCCAGCACTTAAGAAATTGTAATTTTTCTGCTGCATTTGTGGTGTTCTGAGCAGGGTTGTTGTTTTTGAATCTGTTGTCTCCTCCCAGAACACTGGTTGTTGTGAATGCTTGATATCGCCTCTTTTTTGCTTTCTCCTGCATTTTCCCATTCATCTGACATGGTATATTTTTTAACATTTTAATATATTTGTCTTGGAACTATGGATGTTCCCAGTTGTTACCCTGTAGTGTTCAGAATTTGAAGGGTTTTGTTATTTTTTTTCCACTTCATGCACACCCTACATAGCACACAGGTCATCCTTGTTAGTATTCTCATTATTTAAATTAGTGTTTCTCAACCTTCCTAATGCCTAGACCCCTTAATACAGTTCCTCATATTGTGATGATCCTCAACCATAAAATTACTTTCCTTGCTACTTTATATCTGTAATTTTACTACTGTTATGAATCATAATGTAAATATCTGATATGCAGGATGTATATTCATTCACTGAACCTAATTTAGCACAAATACCCGATTTGCCCAAATTTTAATACTGATGGGATTGGGGGAGATTGATTTTGTAATTTGGGAGTTGTAGTTGCTGGGATTTATAGTTCACCTACAATCAATGAGCATTCTGAACTCCACCAAGGATGGAATTCGACCAAGCTTGGCACACAGAACTCCCATGAGCAACAGAAAATACTGGAAGGGTTTGGTGGGCATTGACCTTGAGTTTTGGAGTTGTAGTTCACCTACATCCAGAGAGCACTGTGGACTCAAACAATGATAGAGCTGGACCAAACTTGACACAAATACTCAGTATGCCCAAATGTGAACACTGGTGGAGTTTGGGGAAAATTTGGGAGTTGTAGTGTCTGGGATTTATAGTTCACCTACAATCAGAGAGCATTCTGAACCCCACCAGTGACAGAATTGGGCCAGACTTCCCACACAGAACCCCCATGACCAACAGAAAATATTGTGTTTTCTGATTGTCTTTGGCAACCTTCTGACACCCCCTTGCAACCCCTCCAGGGGTCACAACCCCCAGGTTGGGAAACGCTGATCTAAAGCATTTCGTCCTTGACTTACTATTTATTAAAATTATGTATAAGTTGCCTTTTATCATAAAAATTAAGATGGTTTACAGGATAAAACTGTCAAAACAGAAAGGATGGTGCAAACATATAGCACTGCATCCAGGAATGTTTAAAATTGGTAATGATGATTGTGTCTCTGTATATCTACACCTGAAGGTACACTTTTACTGACTGAGGGAAGACCTGTACTGTAAGTGTCATATCTCTA